GAATAATGGAAGGATTGGTTGTGAATGGGAAAATCCAGAAACTTGTAGAAGATGTGGCAGTTGCCCCTTGAAGGATGTGAGGGAATTAAGTGGCAGAGGGATGAAGACAGGTAGGGGTAGAGGCTCAGGGTGGTCAGCTGCGAGCACAATCAGGAAGATTCAAGAAGCTGCTGCAGGGGCGGGAAATCGGGTGAGGATCATTAATGGGTGCAAAAATAATGTTAGATAGAAGGAACAATATTTAATAGCACAACAAAGGGATTATAATCAATAACAAGTTAGGGTATACTTCAACACAACTAAGAGAGTGGGATTGGAATGCTTCTAACACAGAGAAATGTTAAATGCCTGAGGTGATGGATACCCCAATTACCCTGATTTGATTAATTCATATTATATGTCTATCAAAACAATCACATGTACCCTATAAATACAATTACTGTGTATCTCTAATAATTAAAAATAAAATAAAAAGAAGTTGCTGCAGAGGATGGGAGCCATGGGGCAGAGGGCACCTTTCTGAGTTGATCTGATGGTCTAATAACTTACACAGAAAGTAATTGTTCATACTTTTCATGTTGAATCACAGGCAGGTGATTTTCAAAAGCCTAGTTTTTTCAAACAAATGTGGTCTTGCCTCAGACTGAATAGTTGTCTTATATACCGTAGTTTATTACCATGAACATAAGAAAGGGATTAATTGTAAAAATATCTTTTATATTTAACTTTCTCGGGATAGATTTGTCAAAGAGTAGCATAAGGCACTTTTGATTGCTTTATGTTCTGTTTTGTTACCAATTCATTCTGTAACTCTATAACTTATTAGGGATAAAGTATGCAAAGCCTAGCATGGTCACCGAGGATAATAAGTCTGCGGGCTCTAATCTGGGATCAGGAGGAGGAATAAAGGGAAAAAGAAAGAAACCCTAATAAGGGTCAGTCCCAGGAAGAGCTTTCCAAAGACTAGGGGGATCTAACATTAGTGCCCACCTGTTAGTGTGAGTATCTGGGTAGCAGCATGTATCAATTTCTTTCTGTTGGATGCCCTTAGAATGAGGACTCTGGTAGGCTGTGAGAAATCACATGTTAATATACAATCTCAGACTCAATGGTGTTTACATGATTTTATGTTAACTGGACAAGAGGCTGAATGGAAGTCAATCATTTATTGAGATATTTAGTTGAGCCAAGCATTTGTCCACATTTCCCTGCTCAGCTTAGTTTTTACCAGTAAGAACTGAAACTCAGAAAACTCATTGGAAGAGTCTATTGAATTCCTGAAATTCTGGTTCATTTGTAAGTCACTGATAGCTGACAATATACATATATATGAAATATAGCATATTATAATATATATGGTGAGGTACTTTAAGAAAATGCTTTGGACATATTTCAAAGTAATTATTGTTTACGTCTATTATTTATCGTTTTGCTTGTTGAACATTATGCTCTTTTTTTTTTTTTTTTTTTTGAGACAGAGTCTCACTCTGTTGCCCAGGCTAGAGTGCTGTGGCATTAGCCTAGCTCACAGCAACCTCAAATTCCTGGGCTCAAGCGATCCTTCTGCCTCAGCCTCTCAAGTAGCTGAGACTACAGGCATGTGCCACCATGCCCGGCTAATTTTCTCTATATATTTTTAGTTGGCCAATTAATTTCTTTCTGTTTTTAGTAGAGACGGGGGTCTTGCTCTTGCCCAGGCTGGTTTCGAACTTCTGACCTTGAGCGATCCTCCCACCTCAGCCTCCCAGAGGGCTAGGATTACGGCATGAGGCACCATGCCGGCCACTCTTGAAGACTGACATCACTATAATCTGATTTTGAGAAACACACTACTGGTATCTTGGCTGGGCATGTTTCATCTCACTCTTAAAAATACTTTTCTGCTCTTGGTGGGAGGATGTTTTCAAAGAAGCATTATTTTGTCTCCCACCCTGTGTCTTTGCTTCACATGAGTGACGAGAAGACCCAAATAGCAATATGGAGAGTTTGATTTGTTTATACATTTCTGCCCCCTCTCTCCCACTGATAAGGAGATAGCTGTTCAATGGTAAATTTTTGTCTCTGTAGGCATATAACAAATAATATAGCAATGTTAACAACAGTAGAAAAAGAACATATAAAACCATCCATAAAACTTAATATCTGGCCAGCAGTAAGGAATGGCAGGATAAATGATGGAATATCACTAAAATGGCATATTGTACATATTATGCATTGATAATTAGGAATACAACATAGAAAAGTGGAAATCTGCTTAGAATATAATTAAAAGAAAAATAAAACACACTATTATGATATATATATATACTACGTATGTATGTGGGGGAGGCCTGGAAACTAATACGCTAAAAATAGAAATATAGTAGTTCTCTTACGATAGTAGGATTGTGGATTTTCAAAAATGTTTTATGTGATAAAATGATAGTAATGATAACAGTGAATTCACCAAATAAATCATGCAATGGGTGTAGAGGGGAGATATTAATAAATAAGTAGAGATTGGATGTTACAAAAGAGAAAATAAAATTTAAAAGAATCTTCCTTTCCCACATTTGCCAGCTCTAGTGGATATTAAGATCCAAAATATTGGAAACATTTTCCAAGGAGCTGGTTAGTAGGGTTTGGAAGAGAGCCTGAACTTAACTATATCTGGATTTTGTTTGCCAAGATGATTGCAATAGAAAATAAATCTTGAAACAGTTGTCTAATACGCTCCAGCTTGGGTATCTTGGCTTGATTCACACTTAGGAATCAAGAAACAGTTTGGAAAAAGAAGCATGTGCATAATAAGTAGGAATATAGAGCAAGAGAAATTCAGTACAGAAATTTCTAAAGTAAAATGCCTATTTAAAATAAGTTAAATGACTTGGGATTAACAGCAAAATAAAGAAAATTAATGCCTACTTACATTTATATCTGAGTAGATGCTCTTAAAGTCTACAAGGAGCAATCCTCATGTCTATTATATTAATATTAACAATTTATAACAATTTGCTAAAAGTGTTGATTGGAATGAGTTGATTTCTTTTCCTGTAAAGGACTGAGACACTTTATCCTTCTTTTCTTCCACCCCTTTGAAAAGAACCACACTTTTACTCTGAACTGTGCTTACAAGTGTTGCTTTGTGGCAATAAGCTACTTTGTTGCATATAGAAGGGGATTGCTTAATATAAGATATTAGAAAAATGTACACAGACAAACACACATTTTATTCTTTCTGGTCAAACAAAGTTAAACCTACCTTCCCAGCATTTGCAAACTTTTATTTTAGCATAAGAAAATATTTACTCAAATGTAGACTTAGATACATTAAGTATCTTAAGTAGGTAGGTGGAAGAAGAAATCCAAAATCGATTTTATTCTGAAATAGAACTTGAAAATATGATAAAATACCTTATTATTTCTAAATCAGTAGTTGATCCTTGATTCGAGGGTAGCAGAAGAAAGAGAGAGAGAGGGAATATGATATGATATGAAGGAGTTTGAGCTGGGTTCAAGAAGCCACGAAGTAACTTTTCCAACCCCAAACCTGTACCTGACACTACCAACATCTTTCAGACTCTGGGTAAGATTTGCTGAGTCTCTGTGAACATCTCTCTGTCTCTTTATCTCCTCACCTCTAAAGATGTCCATGGTGGCAACCACATTTTTATTCCTAAATTATCCAATAATTTTAACCTTTTTAAAAATATGATTTCCTACTTTCAAAATGTATTAGGATTATTACAAGGTATTATAATTTTAGGAAACTCTTTCTCCTCATCCCATTTCTAAGTCAATGACATTTAGTGCAAGGCTGTGTATTAGATTACTTTGGGCTATACAAACATTTAGAAATTTCTCCTCAAAAATATTTTACTCCTAACATCTTCATTTTAGTACCAGGAATGTATTGTGTTGAATAAATAATATTTGGTAATAAAGCACATCTGTTTTCATATATCTACAAAATTCTTTTGAGTAGTAGCAATTCAATCTGTGTCACAAAATTTTTATCATGAATTGCATAACTTTGTCATGCATTTTGCTGTAACATATTTCTTGGCAACATATAAAGGGCCTTTACATAAAATATCATAGAATATTCAAACTAGGAATGAATGATAGAAATAATCTAGTGAAAAATCAATCCCCCTTCCCTTCATAGAGTAGGAGACTGAAGTGTGAGAAGAAAAAATTTGCCCAAGATCATGCATCTCATTTTCTGACATTTAAGCCCTCCTGAAAATAAATTATATACTTTTGATCTTGAACTTGACTGGAAAATTATGATTTTAAGAACATGATTCTTAAGACACAACAATTGCTACACTTAAGAAGGAATTGTAGAGTTGGACTTGAAATACATAAAAGAGGTATGCCAATATTTTTGTCCAATTCCCCTTTTAGGGAAAGTAACTAAAACTACCTGATCACTTAAAAATCATCAGTCTTTGAAGGATACAAAGTAATCTAGATCTTCAAAATGAGATCTATCATTCTTCCCTGTAATTCAATATTTTTCTTCAGCAGGGATCAAATGATTTTCTAGTTGATTGCTCTCTTATCTATTGCAGTTGAGCATGTGAAATAGGAAATACATTTTAGGATACCATTATGGTTTTTTTTACTCAGCAGCAGCAGAAAAAAAAATGAAATAAAGAAACTATTATCATGTAATGTTCACTAATCAGGTGAACTTAATAAAATCTAGGCTTCAGTTAAATCTAGTAGATTAACTTTTGGTTTACTGGTATTTACAGTTTGTGGGGGAGTTGAACAAATGTACAAATACTGACACTTCCAAAAGTTTAACCATTGAATTTCACATGAATCCTGCACAATGTTCAAGACTAGTGCATGGACTTTATAGTTTTAAAAAGCATATCGGAATAGTAATTACCAGCACAAGTCTCCCAGTATTAAAGACACTTAGATATATATGTAAAATTCATTTTGTCTTGATTAAAACAAATTCTAATCTATGAAAATATTACATCAAGTCATTTTGCACCCGGTGAGGAAATTATACATGAATGGTAGTAAATGTTAAAAAATTTCAGGTGAAGACATAGTAAGTCAATTTAAATGAAGAGTTTTAGATGTAACATAGACATTTAAAAATATTAATTTGTCACATATCTGGTCATAATTATTTTGCTTTATTTGAAACCATAATCTTGTCACATAATAACAACATAAAACTCCATTATATAATTCAGCTGTATTTAACTCCCCTTTCTCCAAAAACCATCCCATCCCTAGGGGGTTTAACTAAGCTATCTTGATTTTTTTTTTTTCCTTTCAGCAAATACCAAGCATGAGAAGCTTTTCAACAGAAAAAAATCATTTCATTAAATGGAACATCAAAATTTTTCTTTCAATTTCTTCAGACATAAAGCAGCTCGGTTTCCCTTTGGATAGCCCCTGCATCATTTGATGCCTGGCATCTGCAGCCTACTCTAGACTTAGCTCACTCTCAGCAGGTGCTGAATAGCACTTTTGGGGCTATTTTACAAAGCATTCAACATTGTTTACATTGTTAAGAAGCAATTGGAACAGCCTCCTTTCCTACCCACTACCTCTTCCACTGTCCTTTACCCTCATTTCCCCTTTCCCTAAAATGTGTCCCCAACATGCCTATTTACACACTCTCAGGCACCGAAGTTTGCACACCCATCACATACCAGGTCAATCTCTAACAGTGTGAAGGCTGTTTGTTGGAGCAGAGCAATTTCCTTCCGTTGGGAGCTGCCAGTAGTGGTGTTTCTATCAATACAGTGACCCTTGTATGCAGAGCTTAGACTATCGTCTCGTGGTCCCACCTGCCTTGGATCTGATTGATGTAACAGCAGTATCTGTCATACGGGCTGTTCTGCTTGTAGGAGCAAACAATGATACTGTCTTGGGGCACAAAGAAGATGCTGTCCTCGGGCTCAGGGCAGTCGGATCTGTCCCAGGCTGAGCCCTTGGCGTCCAAGGCACTGTAGGCGAGGGAACTGCCAGATGGGCAGTAGCCGTCCAGGTATCTGGATGTCTCCTCCTGCCGCCCGCTCTGGACCAGGCTCTGGCATTCCCCTTCCTCAGTGGGTGTGACGGTGGTGATGGAGCTGGCCATAGGCACTTCACCTTGCCCCTGTTGGGGAAGCTTCCCCCTGAGGCCCGCCTTCTTAGCCAGCTCATCGGAGCTCCCCTTGCCCGACTCCAGGTCTGAAGGGGTCCTAAGCAGTTCCACCACCTCCTTGTCCTTGGGCTTTCGGAAGCAGGGCAATTTGCGGACCCACAGCAGCTCATTGTCCGGCCACTTGGTGCATCCCTCGGTTTTCCTAGCCAGGGCAATGGCCGCAATGCCTGGCAGGCAGATGGCTGGCCCGATGGCCAGGAGGGGGATGTTTCCCAGAGTCTCCCCTTTCATCCCAGAGACAGTGAACATAAAACCAAAGACCAGGAAGACACTGACCAGGGCCACCACCAGCCCAGTCCTCGGGTTAATGTCATCAGGCCGCATCTTTCACTCCATCCAGGTTGGGGGCTGCTTGCTGGCCAGGGAGTAGCCTTCCTCTCCTCTGCCAGAGGCGAAACCACAGTGGGTTAAAAAAAATCCAGTTAAGTTCCCACCCACAATCTCTGTCTCTCTTTCGTTTGTCTCTCTCTACTTGTCTTTCAGTCTTTGTCTCTCTCTTGCAATTTCTTTCCTCTCTGTTTCTCTTGCAATTTCTCCCTGCTCCCTCCCCCCACTCCCCCTCACCAATGCAACCGCTGCCTCTTTCTCATACAAGCATGCACCGACTGGAGCCACCGGGGTACCTGAGGGTCCTGCCGTCGTCTCCAGGGAGTGGGGAAAGAGGCCAGTCTGGAGTCTCCTCAGAAACCACAGCAGCTGTCCCCTCGGCTGGCTCCCTCGGTTCTGGGAGGAAAGCCTGGTTTTCCCCACTGGCTCTGCATCCAGGGGGTGGAACGTGGGAGAGTGTCTTTCCCGGCAGTGCCCGTCGGTCCCCAGGGCGGTGTGAGCGGAGCGGCGGCGCGGCTGTGCGCGCGGCGCGGGGCGCGGGAGGGGAAGGACTTAGTGTGGAGAGAGGGAAAGCGGCGCGAGCCTGGCCTCGTTACATCACTTTCAGAGCACGCTCAGAAACCCAGCGGGCGCGCGGGGCGCGAGGGGTCAGACCACCCGGAGAGCCACTCTGTGGAAGGGGCTGCCCCGGCTCTGGTCGCGGCTGCCGGGAGCAGCCGGGGTCTGTTCCGCCGCTGCCCGGAGGGCTGAGCAGGGCACCGGACCGTGACCGTGCCCGGGGAAGGTCTGGGGCGCGAGGCTGTGGGTGCCCGGAGATGGGAACCCCAGGTCGGTTTGCCCAAGGGGCAGCTCTTGGAACTCCTGAGCCTGGGCTGCAAGTCCGGTGTCGGAGGGGTTAGGTACCAGCTGGAGGCGTCCCTCGGTGACCCGCCCGTTTCTTCAGTTACAAACCAGGGTGATCCAACCGCCCTGACGACTGCCCTTCTCTCAGCCTCGCGGCACTTGGGGCGCGGAGGGCTGCACCCCTCGAGGGGACGGTCCGAGGGCCGCTCTCGGCCGGGCGGGCAGGGAGCGCGGGAAAGCGCCCTCGCAGCGGAGCAGGCTGCGCTGCCTGCCGGGCGCACAGGATTTGTTGTATAAAATTTGGATTCAGTCAAAAGGCCGCACTCTAGGATCCAGGAGGGCACATGTAGCCTTGAGGCCACAGGTTCCTCACCCCGCGCAGGCTGAGTTAGTGCTGGGAGGGGTGGCCGGGTCTTGCCTGGGCTCCCCAGGAAGTTTCCAGAGTCCCTCCCTCTGGCCTTCCAGCTCTGGACCCGGGAGAAGGTGACAAGGGAGAGGGGCTCCTGCCCCTGGCCCCCATTCTGCCCCCAGCTTTCAGAGAAGGGGCCTTGACTGGGCGGGTCAGAACCACCCCAGAATGCTGCCGCAGTTGTGGGCGATTCTTTCCTCCCTTGCTGAAGCTGACGTGGAGCATCAAGCGTTCTTCCCACTCAGTCAGCGGCAGCAAGGGATGGCTTCCTCTGGCCCCAGGGGCAAGACTGGCTTTGGCTGTGATTCTTCAACAGGGCTTTCCCTTCAGGGTAGCATGGGGGTGGGGAACAAGATGGCGAGCGGTCCATTCTTTCATGGCAAGGCACTGTCAGGTGGGAAGAACTTTGACATCCAGTCCTTCTCCATTGAACTAGCTGTGTGTTCCTGGGCAAGTGAGTTAACCTTTCTGAGAATCAGTCATCTTACCTGAAAAATGAGAATATTAATACCAAATACATGAGGAAGCATTGTGAGGATTAAATAAATGTGAAGTTTCAGCACAATGCTTGGTACATGGTCCCTGCTCAAAAAAAAATTGATATCAATATATATCTATATACATACAGTTTTCTTTCCATAGTTATCACTATAATCGGTGTCCTCATCATGTAAGGTGGGAGCCAAATCATGAAGGACCTGTCTGTGGAGCTAAGGACTTCTGACTTTATCCACTAGGCAATGAAGAACTGTGGAAGTATTTTAAGCAGAGATCAATACAAAAGTATTCCATTTTTGACAAAGAGTAACAGCAGGGTAGAGGACAGGTTGCAGGGGTCAGTCTAGAAGCAGGGAGACTTGTTAGGAGGGCAGTTCCGTAAGCCAGGCAAGACACAATGTGTGCCTGACCAATGCCAGGCTGGTAGTGGTGATTAGAAGAAAGCAGATCTGAAGGATACTGAAGGAATGAATCAAGTGTCTTGGTGCACAGTGAAGTGAGATGAAGGGAGGAGCCAGGGCTGACCCCCATGTTTCTCGCCCTTTCAACTAAGTGGCTCAGGAACCAGATGCCTTTTCATTTTCCACTCTGTCTTCTATTTTGTGTGTCTTTTGTACTCATGATCAGGTAGCTGCTGCACCTTTGGGCATAGAATCATTTAGCAAGGAAGAAAGGAGAAAAGGCAAAGGGCAAAAGTGAGGTGCCTGCTGTTTGGCCATTTGTATCAGGAAAATAATAGTTTTCCCACCAGCCCTGCCAGGTAGATAGGCATCTGCTCAGAATCAGCCAGAAGGATGTTATATGGGATTCAAAGGAGCCTGGGAAATCTTTGCTTGCTTATTTACTGATTTACCAGACTCACCAATGCTCTGAAAAACACTCAGAGTTAGTAAGGAAAAAGAGGAGAATGAATCTTCAGGAAGCAACACGCTACGTTTGCTATGACTATTAAACACTTACCCTTACTTGAAACTCTCTCTTCCTCTGCCTTTACTGATACCATTCTATCCTGATTGTCCTCCTGTCTCCCTGGTCACTCATTTTTAGGCTACTTCTTAAACTCTATTTTATTTTTAACAGTCCACTTAGATATTGATGTTCTGCTAGTTCTGTTCTTGTTCTCCCCTTTTCTGATTTCTCCTCTCTTCCTTCTCATTTTATGATAGTTTAAATAGCCTACACAGGCTTATGACTCCTGGAGTTATCTTTTTAGCCTTGTCCTTTCCCCTCAGCTTCTGGTCTATCATATCCAATTGTCTGCTTGGTTTCTCTACCTGGATAGGACATAAACACTTCACACTCAACATGACACAAATTGAACTCATTATATTTCCTTCAAACTTGCGCTTTCTCATTTGACCCCATCAGAAGCTGATCAAAATCCTGTCTCTCATAAAAATATGACAGAACATGGGCCACATTACACAATAAAATGGGCAATAATAACATCTATATTTTTGTAAGCATAAACACTTAAGTATACTAATGACAGTCACATGGGTGGAACAGTAACAAGCAGATGAACCATATTCATAAAGAAATGGGTCAAAAAGTGAAATGTAGAAACGCATATCACAATGGCTGGTAATTGTGTGCACCCAGCTTTATAACTAAAGTCATCTGAAACACTGTGTCAACCAACCTGAGTGTTTTGACAAGATCCTGTTAAAGACTGCAATGGGTCACCACTGCATAGACAGTTGCCAGAGCCAATCTTTAAAAATTTTATCTTTCACAAATGCAGATGTACAAAAATGACATCTATTCATGTATTGAGGAAGTTTCAATGTTTTTGTAAACAGGAACAAAGTCAAAGTTGTGACAATGCACTTTCATGGAGTCGAATTTGCAAAAAATGCATAAAACAAATCAGAACTCTCTGAAAGTCTCTACAAAATTTATACCTCCAGTATTGCAAACAATGCAAAAATAAAATATGTAGCACAGAGAATTGTAAAAATATAATGCTGACCATTTAAAACAGAGGGCAAAAAATGAAAAATAGAAAATTAAAATTAAGAAAAACAAAAAAACTAAAAAGAAAATTCAACATGTGAAAAAGTATGTTACAGGGATAAATTATAGGCAGTTGTATAAAGATGGTTCATAGATCTGGCTTTAACAATCATTAACATTTTGAATCATGCAGCATCATGATGAATGGCTGCTTTTTCCTTTATGACATGGCTTTCCTCAGAGAATGTGTGCACATTCATTTCTATGTGGCACTGCTTTTTTTGAAATTCTTCTATGATTTGATATACACCAGCATGAGCATTCCCTATTTTTCCATTTTCTGTGCCATATTGTTTTGGGTTGATTGTAGATATTAGGGATTTTAGATTTTACGAGTTTAGACTCTGGGAATTTCAACATTAGGGATTGTGGTATTTGGGATTGTGTTTTTTGAGATTATGATTCCAAACTGATCCCATCATTTCTTCCATTTGCCAACTGAAAATATTTGGAATTGTCCTCCACTCTTTTGTCTTCCTAACAGCCTACATCCAATAAGTAACTCAAATCATTATAGTTTTACCTCCTAAGTCCCCTGATTATCCCCTCTTCTACTTGTGACCCCAGGAAAATCACTTTCCCTTCCTGGATTTCAGCTTCTTATGAAACAAAGGCTTTGAATAAGGAGCTAGGTGAGATGTATTTCAACTCTAATATTCCTTGGTTCTCTGGCAGTTACTTTTGCATGGATTGGCTGATGTCAGTTTTGTGCAGATGTTTTGAAAACAGTGCCGGAAATGAAGTTAGGTCTCAAAGAAAGGTTGCTGAGCAGAGCCCTCCTCTCACTTGTACAAATATCTAATTCCATTCTGATTTTTAAGCCATGTAGTTCATCTACTTAGGCATTAGATAATACCCATGCTTAAAACCACAGGAAACTTCAATTACTATTTAATTATAAGCCCCATTCTCAAAGCAATTCCTTCTTGGAGGTTATTTCAGATGGTCTTTGAACAGCAGGTACACTTGCCTAAGTCAGCAGCAATAGTGGGTGGGGATTGGAGACATCACTCCAGGTCCCAATACTCAGAGACAGATAAGGCATTCTTAGTGTTTAATTTCTTGTCTGTACAGACAGATTGCACTAAAATTTTAAAACCTTAATCAGTTCTTGTAATGCTGTAAGCATATACAGCCATGTACTAAGGCTTTTCATTAGAAGAGCAAGGAATTCAGGTTGAAATGAGGCTAGGGCATGTGGGTATTTCAGAAAGATGTTAACACAACCTTTTATTTCTGAAATTATCATAGCATGCTGGCATTTGAAGATACCTTGTAGAATATCTACTCCAACTCCTTTATTGTACAGATGAAATCCAGAGAGGTTTTATTTGTTCAATATTATTAATACTTGAGTGTTTATTATGTGCTGGCACCGTGCTAGGTGCTGGAGGTACAAGTCATATAAGACAGGGTCTGCCTTTATAGAACTCACACTCACAGAGCAAAATATGTGTATTGGTCAGGATAGGATAGATTGTGCGGTGACAACAAAAGAACTGCAGATCTCAAAGGCTACACACTCGTACCATGTGTCTACAATGGGCCAGCTGCAGCCCTGCTCCGTGTTGTCTACACTCTGGGATTCAGGTTGACAGAGCAGTCTCCATTTGGGACATGGCCAGTCTGGTAGCAAAGGGACAAAAGAGCAGGACAAACCACATGCTGGCTGGTGAAGCTTATTCCCCAGACCTTGTCATCACCCCATCTTTCAGGTTCCTCCTTCATTTACTTCATGTCACTTCTTTTTCCAGCCCAGCTATCCTACCCTAGCAGGATACTAGAGTCTTTGGAATTCCTGAAGTTTTGAAGGATAAAGATGGGAATTTTTGT